GACTTAATTTTCCTCATACAAAAGAAATGATGAAGATTTTTCATAAAAAATTTGGTCTCCATCATTTTCGAACTAATCAGCTAGAGGCGATCAATGCTGCACTGCTTGGTGAAGACTGTTTTATCTTAATGCCCACTGGTATGTATTTTTAGATATGAATTGGCAGGAATCCATTGGCAGATGTGAAATGAAAGCCCTTTAATAGAAATTAAAAGAACACCGACAGTATTTCTATCATTTATGGGCCTCTAAACCTCCCAGGCCATAGTAAGAAAGTGTATTACCTCATACCCTCTGTTCTAGTTGTTGACATGATAACATTTATAGCCCTTTAAGATTTTCCACTCAAAGCTCGTTGTGTTGAACTGATATAGAATTTCTCTTTGGGGATTTTTCTTTTCCTAGTCTAAATTAGTCTGGAGCATGAATAAAAATGTAGGACTGGAATAGAGATGTGACCATTTCTGGCAGTTTATTTGTTACAGTCTAGTGATCTATGGTGGTTAAAACCATCAGCTCTGGATTGGTGGCCTGGGCTTAAGGCACAGCCCTGCCATTTCTTAGCAAAGTGACCTTGATCAAGGCCCTTCATTCCTTGGACCCCACAAGTGCAGTGGGAATAATAATAAAGAACCTGCCTCACAGAGTGTTATGAAAATTAAATGAAAAGCATTTAGCGTAGTTCTTCCTTGGCCTGTTTTGAAGAGATCCAGGACTTTTCATTGTGCTGTAAACGTTTATAACAGCTGTTCAATGATTTCTAGTCATCCAAGTCAGACTATTAAATAAGCAGTTCGGACAAGGACCAGGGGGAGTTTGGAGTTTCAGTACTTGCACATGTAGTCTTCCCTGGGCCGTCTACTCTCCTTGTTGTGACCTTAAGCAGTTAGTAATTGCCATCATTGTTTAATAGTATTATCTGGCTATCTGAAGGTTTTTCAAACTGATCTTAAAATTTAGGTGATGTTCGGTTAATAATCATTTCCTGTTTCATTAACTTGTTTCCTCTGTGCTCTGTGTCCACTCCAAGTTGTACTCCAAAACCAAAGCAGGAAAGGACCCAAACACTGGTTTTGGGGGCTTCCCATGGTCCTTTGAGGTTTCAAGGGGGTGTTTTTGTTGTTATTGTTAATCCTCACCCAAGGATATTTTTTTTCATTGATTTTTTTTTTATAGAGAATGGAAGAGAGAGAAACATATCGTTTGGTTGCCTCCTATACACACCCCAACTGGGGCCACAATCGAACCTGCAACCTAGGCATGTGCCCTTGACTAGGAATCGAACACTCAACCCTTCAGTGTAAGGCCCAACACTCTAACCATTAAGCAACACTGACCAGGGCTTGAGGGGGTGTTTTTATGTATCCTTCCACTCCAATTTAACCTCTTGGTATTGTGTGTGTGTGTGTAGTTTATTTTTGACAAAATTTGTAAGCTACTGATCTAGTACATGTTGGACATGATAAAGTTGAGGCGTGATAAGGTTGAATGGCATGTCTAAGTCACATAACCTATTAAGTGGTAGAACTGAAACTAGAACTCAGCTTCCTGGTCTTGCCATGACATTTACACATAAATACCAAAGAGAAATTTACTTATTACACATGCAGAAAAGATGGACTGTTTTGTTTAATAAAAAATTTAAAAAAAATCGAAGTCCTAGAAACTGCCTAGCACAAATTTCTATTATTAGTGGGCTGATGAAGTTGAAAATTAGGGATTAATCATTTCAGTTACCATTAAATGTGTACTGATTGTCTTGCCATTTTGAATTAGAGTTACATGTATTTGAAACTAATGGCCCGGTGCACAAAATTCATGCAGCCACGGGGGTGTCCCTAGCCCGGCCTGCACCCTCTCCAATCTGGGACCCCTCAGGGGATGTCCGACTGCTGGGCCTAACTGCTGGCAGTCAGACATCCCTCTCACAGTCTGGAACCACTGGCTCCTAACCACTCGCCTGCCTGCCTGCCTAATTGCCCCTAACCACTCTGTCGGCCTGCTCGCCCCCAATGGCTCCCCCTGCCCCACCAGCCTTCTCATCCCAAACTGCCCCCACCTTGTTGGCCTGATCACCCCCAATTGCCCTCCCCTCCAGGCCTGATCACCCCTAACTGCCTCTGCCTCGGCCCCACCACCATGGCTTTGTCTGGAAGGTCTCCCAGTCTAATTAGCATATTACCCTCTTATTAGTATAGATAATTATTTTAATCCTAGAATCATAACTAGGGTGCCTCTTATACTGCATTTGGATTTCCCAAGTAGACTTCTAAAGCAATTCAATTGCATTTAAGCTTTCTGCCCTGATTCTTGCTTTTGCTATCATATGTACCTACATGAGATGTCCTGAAAGATAATCTTTACACATTTAAATTGTCGAAGTATTTTGACTCATTTGAATATGGCAAATTGTGGCACCATAGGGAATATCACTTGGTATTCTGTTAATTATCTTAAATATTTGTGTGTGGTTTACTTTGTAACTTTTGCCTTCATGCTCTCAAGATAGGACCTGACAGGTATTTCTTTTTCATCTCTCTTTCAGGAGGTGGTAAAAGCCTGTGTTACCAGCTCCCTGCCTGTGTTTCTCCTGGGGTCACGATTGTCATTTCTCCCTTGAGGTCACTTATCGTAGATCAAGTCCAAAAGCTGACTTCATTGGATGTAAGTTAAAAACAAAATTCTACCAATTACAATAAAAATGCTCATAAAAATATAACTTAAAAATAATTATATTTTAGTACTCTGGGCTGCCTTTTTATTTAATAGTTTGTGAATTATAAGAATGAAGTACAGCTATTACATTAAGTTGTACATTTATGCTCAAGTCTGAAAATTCTCATACAGATAACTTTCCATCTGATTTTATTCTAGGAGAATGTATTTTAGTAAGAACTTTTAACTTGTACTTTGCTGATATAAAATTTTTTTTATTTAATATGAAAGGAGGTTTTTTTTATTACTGCCAGATCAGCGTAGTTCTTATCTTACTCCCTTAACGTCTTAAAATGCATACACATGCCTGTACCCACACGTGTCTCCTTTTTCCTCCTGGCTGAGATTACAATAGTATATGGATTCATTCTACTAAATCCTGCATATTGTGATCAAACAATTATTTTCAGGGTTATGAGCCACTACCTTTTTATTATGTTGGATTTCTTTTTCTTTTTTTATTTCAGAGAGGAAGGGAGAGGGAGAAAGAGAGATAGAAACATCAATGATGAGAATCATTGATCAGTTGCCTCTTGTATGTCCCCTACTGGGGATCCAGCCGGCTACCCGGGCATGTGCCCTTGACCAGAATTGAACCTGGGTCCCTTCAGTCTACAGGCTGATGCTCTATCCACTAAGCCAAACAGGCTAGGGCGCCGCTACCTTTTTCAACAAGACCGCTGGTTTGATTCTTCTTCCAAAGAATGTCTTAGTGCAGTGATGATAGCTGTTGTTAAGTCAGTCCTGATCTTATGGCCCTTGCATCACTGTTACCCATTAAAACCCTGAATACACATTTACCTAAAAAACAATGTACCTATACATTAGGACTGGATCTTTTGGATGCTGAATTCATATTTATATTACTTATAAACATGAAAAGCAAAGGAAGTAAAGGAAAGCGAAAAAAGAAAAAGAATTAATCAATGAGAAGAATATTTTAAATTGTAGTTAGTAAGGGTTTTTTAAAAATGTACTATGTACTTATTGTTACTTTTTTAAAATATATTTTATTGATTTTTTACAGAGAGGAAGGGAGAGGGATAGAGAGTTAGAAACATCGATGAGAGAGAAACATCGATCAGCTGCCTCCTGCACACTCCCCACTGGGGATGTGCCTGCAGCCAAGGTACATGCCCTTGACCGGAATCAAACCCAGGACCCTTCAGTCCGCAGCCCGATGCTCCATCCACTGAGCCAAACCGTCTAGGGCCTGATTGTTATTTTTATTACATTGAGATTATCTTTCCTCTGATAGGTTTGACATGTAACTTATAAAATATTTATAAAAGCTAAGGATAAATATAAGCTTAAATCGGATTAATGTGTAAAATTTACATTGTTTACTACTTTAATACTTAGATTCCAGCTACATATCTGACAGGTGATAAGACCGACTCAGAAGCTACAAGTATTTACCTCCAGTTATCAAAAAAAGACCCAATTATAAAACTTCTGTATGTTACTCCAGAGAAGGTTTGTATTTTATCATTATTTTAAAATATGACATTAGTGCTGTGTTAGTAAAAACAGTTCAGTTCTTGCTCTTGAGTACGGAAAACCCAGCCTTTCCCTCCTCTGTTCCTCTCCTTTATTCCTCACATAGAATACTTCCTTCTGCTCATCCAGTGTGTGGAGGTTTTTTTCTTACACCACGTAATTCTTGTGACACCGGCCAATTGTCCTATAATTTAACTCAATTCTGACATTGCCTACCCAGAGATAGTGTCAAATCCCACAGGTTAAGGGCTCAGTCCAACACGATGGTTTCCATCCAGGTCACCCGTAACTTCTCTGATTTGGCTGTAAATCAGAAGTTCTTAGGACTCCCTTCTCAGTTCCCATTAATTTGCTATAGCAGCCCGCAGAACCCAGGGCAATGCTTAAGTCCCGCCAGTTTACTAAAGGACATGATAAAGATACAGACGCAGCCAGATGAAGAAAAACGCTGGGTGAGGTCTGGGGAGGTCCACAGCACAGGAGCTTCTGTCCTCATGCAGCTGGGGCTGTCACCCTCCTGGTGTGGATGTGTTTGCCAACCCGGAAACTCTGAGTCCCATGCTTTGGGGATGTGATTTAGGCTTCCCCATGCAGGCACGATCAATTATTAAATCTATTTCTAGCCCCTCTCCCCCTGTCTGGAGGATGCAGGGTGGCGCTGCGAATTCCAGGGTGCTAATCATGGCTTGGTCTTGGTGGTGACCAGCCCCCACCCAGGAACCCCCCAGACTCGACTCTAGAGTAAAAAGATGCTCCTAGCGCTCTTATCACTTAGGAAATTGCAAGGATTTCGGGAGCTCTCTGCCAGACACTGGGGTGGAGACCAATATATTTTTTTCTATTATCTCCTAAAAGCTCACTAGAATACATACATTTTTCAATTTTGACATATTTCTGATATACAGTGTAGTGCAAGAATTCCTGTATGACTTTCACCCAGAAACTCCAAGTGTTAACTTTTACTGTGATTGCTTTATCATTCTATTTTTTTTAATATTTGAAAGTAAGTTGTAGACATATATCCTTTTAACCTTAAAAACTTCACCATGCATTTCATAAAAACAAGGAATTCTCTTGCATTACGGTATAATCAAAATCAGAAAGTTTTCATTGATACAACACTATTATTTCGTCTATGAACTTCAGTTTCACTAGTTGTCCTAATAATGTCCATTATAGCAAAAGAAATTCCTAGAATATGCATTTAGTTGTCATGTCTCTTTAAATAATTTGTCTTTCATGATTTTGACAATTTTTTAAAAATATTTTTTTATTAGTTTCAGAGAGGAAGGGAGAAGGAGAGAGAGATAGAAACATCAATGATGAGAGAGAATCATTGATTGGCTGCCTCCTGCACGCTTTCCACTAGGGATCAAGCCAGCAACCCGGGCATGTGCCCTTGACCAGAACCGAACCCGAGACCCTTTAGTCTGCAGGTTGGTGCTCTATCCACTGAGCCAAACTGGCTAGGGCAATTTTGACACTTTTGAAGAGTGAAGGCCAGTTATTTTGAGAACTGTCCCTCAATTTAAGTTTATCTCATGTTTCCTAGTGATTAGATTCAAGTTATTGGTCTTGGCAGGCACATCAGAAGTGGTGATAAGTTCTTAGTGCATCCTATCAGGGGGCATTTGATGTCAGTTTATTCTGTTATTGGTGCTGTTAGTTAACCTAGTCACCTAGGTTAGGTGGTGTCTGTCAGACTTCTTCACTGTAAAATTACTTTTTTCTCTTTTTTTGTCATAAATGTAATTTTTTTTGGTTATTTTCTGCCTTTGTAATAGTAGATAATTGTTGTGGGATATTCTGAAACTGTGTAAATATCCTGTTATTCATCAGACTTTTACCTAATACTTTTATCATGCATCGATGATTCCCCTTTAGTTATTACTATAATGGCTGCCAAATGATGATTTTTCTAATTAGTTGGCATTTTACTACAACAAATAGCTTTTCCTTTTACCTATATATTTACTTATATTAGTAAGAAATTATGGAATTTTAACTTATATAGTAGGCTAGCATCTATTTTTGTTATGTAATTTGATGTTCTAATTTGGCCAATGGGAGACCTTCATCAAACTGGCTTCTGTGTTCTTTTGACATGCCTGTTAAGATGCAGGTGCCAGATGTGGTTGTTAATACTAGAATGTCATTGCTTCTAGGCCCTGTCATGGACAGAGCTATGAAATATATACATACATACAATATGTATATGTGTGTGTGTGTGTGTGTGTGTGTGTGTGTGTGTGTGTATCCCCCTCCCCAAGTAACAAGCATGCAAGTAACGTATCCATAGCACTGTTCCCAGTGTAAACATGGCCCTCAGGTATGCTGAGGTCCAAAGTTTTAGAACCACTGACCTGATACATAACTGTTTGCTAAACATCCTAAAATGTCTCTGCTATTTTCTATCACTTCTGCTAATTCTCTTCATATCCTATATAATAAAGAGCTAATATGCTAATTAGACCGGATGGTGGAACGACCTTCCAGAATCACCAGTGGGTAGGGTGGGGCGGGGCGAGGGACAGGGCCGCCAGGCAGCTGAGGCTGTGAAGGCCTACTCTTGCACGAATTCCGTGTATTGGGCCTCTGGTAATGGAGTAAGTACCAGTTTTCTCTGAAGGTTTTGAAGGAGCTTAAGTTGCAGTGGAACTTAAAGACAACAGAATCCTTGAGGTGAGGTGATGCTTAAATATTTTTAAATGTCTAATTAATCCTTTTCTGACCTAGGTCTGTGCAAGTAACAGGCTGATTTCTACCCTGGAGAATCTGTATGAGAGGAAGCTCTTGGCAAGGTTTGTTATTGATGAAGCACATTGTGTCAGTCAGGTAAATACTGTTTTTTATGTCTTGAAATATTGATAAATATATACCACCAACAGTATATATATTTTCAGAACTAAAGAGAAAAAAAACATTGGGTGAATTATTCTATTTCACTGAAGATTATTCTATTTCACTTGAAGGTGGTTCTGAATGTGGTGAGCAGTATTTGCTTTGTATAAACGAAAGATTCAAATGGTCTGAAAAGCGGGTTTTTCTCTCAACTAGTGGGGACATGATTTTCGTCAGGATTACAAAAGAATGAATATGCTTCGCCAGAAGTTTCCCTCTGTTCCAGTGATGGCTCTCACCGCCACCGCTAACCCCAGGGTGCAGAAGGACATCCTCACTCAGCTGAAGATTCTCAGGCCTCAAGTGTAAGTTGTTGAAAGTCGTGCATTTCGAACCCTGGGGCAGTGGTTCTCAGTTTGCTACACATTATAATAATCTGCGGAGCTTTGAAAATCCCAGTGCCCAGGTTGTGCCTGATGCCAATTAGCTCAGAATTTTGGGGCTGGAAACCATTAGGTTTTTAAAAATCCCCAAGTGAACCATCCTTTTCTTGGGGTGGTGTTACTGTCCAATTAGCGTGCATCGACCCTCAACCACTGAGCCACACCGGCTGGGCTCAATTCACCTTTTGAATAACTTTTCGTTAAGTGTAGAATTTGTCGTTTTGCTTGAGTAAACATTGCACAAATATAGTTAGAAGCAGACACCTAGTGAGGGCAGTACTGCCAACGCCTTTAAAAAAGAAAATCCCCAGGTGATTACAATATATAGCAAAATTTGGGAACCAGGGCCCTAAGGGCTTTTCTTCGCTTACTGAAATGAAAACTTTCTCTTGTCACCTATTCTGTAAATTGGAATAAAGTGCATGCTGTTCCCGTTAGCCCTGGGAGCGTCCCTGTAATAAAGTAGCTTTTATTTACCTGATTTTGGCTCCCACATCCTAGAATATACATCATGCAATGAACCAATGACCCTGCTTTGTCCTTTTCCTCTGGAGTCCCAGTGACACCCAGAATGCTGAAAATAGTCCAGAAACTATGTATAACAGCTTTTTTAACTTTGTTTCCATCTCAACAGCAAAGGGCTTCTTATTGGCACCAAATCCATAATTATTCAATAATAAAAACCACAACAGTAAAATGCCCCACATATAGAGGGTGTACTGGATTAGTTTGTATCTCTGCATGAGTTTGTAGACACAAATTCTCTGATAAGTTCATTCACTCTGCAAATAATTACTTAACAGCTATTGTGTACCAAGGTTACAATATTTCTTCCTTCCAATTTGTTAATGGGCGTTTGAGTTTGAGGAAAGCCTGAAGGAATGACTAATATATTGGGGTGATTTTTTTTTTAAGTACACCTTTTATTCATTTGGAAATAGAGAATAAGCTGGCTCTATAAATATGGTAAAAACAATAGCAGCATCTCTCAGTGGGTTATAAGAACTGGAAGTGCCACATGAAGGATATGAGGGGTCATGAGATTAAGGTAGCTACAAAGACCTTTGCAGATTAAACTGGCGTGTGTTTGTTTTTGTTAATCCTCACCCGTGGATACATTGATTTTTAAAGGGAGTGGAAGGGAGGGAGGAGGGATATATATAGAGAGAGAAACATCAATGTGGCTGGGATCGGGCCTGCAACCCATGTACATGCCCTTGACTGGGAATTTAACCTGGACCCTTTAGTCCTTGGGCTGATGCTCTAAGCACTGACGCTCTAACGGCCAGGGCTAAACTGGCGTTCTTGAATGCAAGAATTTCCAAGTACCCAGTTTTTTGTGTGTGATTTCACTTGCAGAGGGGCATTTGTATAAAATTGGGGAGAAGGATATTTTGCTTCCATAATTGATAAACATTACATGATAGTTAAGGTGTCGTACTTCAGGTTTTAGTGAATAACCTACATACTAGAAATTCGCGTCTACAAGTACTACATTGGTCTGTGAAAGCTTTTTCTTTTTTTAGATAGGCAATATTTTTAGCTTTTATCCCTTCAATTTATGCCAGAAGCAATCTACTGTTCTTTTTGATCAGTAATGTTTTCCAGATGCCCGACAGTTAAATCATATAAGTTCAGTTCAATTAGCCTTTTCTATTATCAATCTGTTATACTAATACTTTGCCAAACAGCTCACCTTTTCTCTGTTGATGTGAACTTTATTTGCCTATCCCACAGTATTTTATTTATTACTTTACAGTAACGTTTGAATACCTGGTACAATCATTTCCTTTCTTTTAAAAATATTTTTTAATTGATTTCAGAGAGGAAGGGAGAGGGGGGGAGAGAGAAACATCAATGATGAGAGAGAATCATTGATTGGCTGCCTCCTGCACGCCCCTACTGGGGATCAAGCCTGCAACCCAGGCATGTGACCTGACGGGAAATCAAACTGTGACCCCCTGGTTCATAGGTCGACCCTCAACCACTGAGCCACACCGGCTGGGCTCAATTCACCTTTTGAATAACTTTTCGTTAAGTGTAGAATTTGTCGTTTTGCTTGAGTAAACATTGCACAAATATAGTTAGAAGCAGACACCTTTAACATCTTTTCCTAGTAGTGTGAGGAGATCTCCTTGCAAAAGCAATAGATTATACATTTCCTGAGTCTAGCATGTGGTGCCCGGTGCATAATTGGCACTTGTTAAGAATGAATAAATGAAACATATGGAGGAATTTGGGTAAAATGTGAAAATTTGGGCAAGTCTGTTGACTCTTTAATATATTTGGTACTTCTATATTTGGGAAGGTTTAAATTTCTTAGTGGAAGTACAAAATTTTAATGAACACTTTCTGACACATTTTTTCCTGCTCTTTTCTGCCAGTAAGCCCTTTGTTTGCATTAAATTTGCCCAACTGCTGATGTGTCATGACCCTGAAGAAGGCAGTTATCCAAAGGTTTGGAGCCATGGCCCCCATGCTCCTCTCCTCATGCGCGTCTATGATGTTATTCTTCCTCTTTGGGAAATACAAGGATGGATAATAACCTTTCCCTTTCCCTTAGGACCTGAGAAATACGAACTGAGGAAGAGACAAACAAATAGACAGTTTAATACAACAATAATAATGTAATAATACAACAGTAATAACAGCTAACACTTTTACACCTCTAGCCTCTACAGTGTGCAGGGGGCACTATTGTTGGCATTTTGTGTATTAACTCATCCACACAAAAGTCTTAGGAAGTAGATCCTCCCATTTTTCTCACTTTATGGATGAGGAAACAGGCACATCAATTAAACAACTTGAACAAGGTCGCATGCCTAGCAAGCGCTGGAGTAAGTACTTAAACCCAAACCATCTGTTTTCAGCACCCTTTCAATTCTCTCCAAATTGCAGAATGAAGTCAGTGGTGATTAGAAGTGTAAATTATTACTGCAGGAACTCAGAAAGCCAAGATTAACTATAACCCAAAGTAACAACTATTAGTGAAGAGGGGTCAGACAGGGTTTTATAAATGAAGTGGGTTTTGTAGGATGGTCCTTTAAAAATTTTAAACATCTTTATTGAGTTATAATGTCAATATCTGAAAATTCACCTATTTAAATTATATAATTGTGATTTTTTAAATTTTTTATTTTTTTAGTTTATTCACAGGGTTGTGCAGTCCCACCATTATCTAATTTTAGAACATTTTTATCTCCTTTAAGAGAAACTCCATACACATTAGCAGTTAATTGCCAGCATCCTCCACCTTCCTAGCTCTAGACAACTGCTTACCGGCTTTCTATCTCTAGATTTTTGCCTGTCCTGGACATTGCATTTAAATAGAATCATATACTCTGTTGCCTTTTGTGAGTGCCCTTTTTCACTTACCATCATGTTTTCAAGGTTCATCCATGTTGTAGCATGTATCAGTACTTCTTTCTTATTGACAGCTGTCCCATTGTATGGATAATCTGCGTTTTATTTATTCGTCATGGGGTGAATATTTGAGTTGTTTCTATTTTTTGGCTATTAGGAATAATGCTATGAGCATTTGTGTACAAGTTGTCATGCGGACATGTGATTTCATTTCTCTGGGACATACGTCTAGGGGAAGAATTTTTGGGCCATATGGTCACTCTACATTTGACCTTTTAAAGAACTGCCAGGTTGGTTTTCAAAGCATCTGCCCCATTTCACATTTCCTTCAGCCGTGTGTGAGGGTGGCAGTTTTTCCACATCCACACATTATCACTTGTTTCCGTTTGTCTTTTTTACTGTATTCATCCCACTGGATGTGAAGTAGCAAGTGAGTGGCATTTGAACAGAAGAAAAGTGAGAATTCAGGGCTGAAGTTTTTGGTGTGAAAATACAGGTCAGGCCCTAGCTGGTTTGGCGCAGTGGATAGAGCATCGGCCTGTGGACTGAAGGGTCCGGGGTTCGATTTCAGTCGAGGGCAATGCCCAGGTTGCAGGCTCTATCCCCAGGGTGGGGTGCAGGTGGCAGCCGATCAATGATTCTCTCTCATCATTGATGTTTCTATCTCTCTCCCTCTCCCTTCCTCTCTGAAACCAATAAAAATATGTTTTTAAAGAAAAGAAAAAAAAGAAAATACAGGTCAGGCCCAAGGAATGGTGAATAATGCATAGGATAAGTGGAGAAATAAAGAGAAGGGATAACCCTGGAAAGGTTGCTTGAGGCCAGATCATAGAGGGTCTTGCATATCATCCTGCTCAAGTATTGGATATGTCTTATAGGCACATTCACCTGGGAGGTGGCTTGATTGGAGCTGTTTGGCTTTTATGTTTTGGCTTTTTTGGTTAAAATGTTTTCCTCACCCTGGCAGTGGATAGAAGATGGAGTGGAGTAACAGTTTAGAGGCAGGACAGCCCTTTAGAAACCCTAGTGCAGCCATTTAAGAGAGAGATGATGATAGTGGCAATAGTAGAAAAGGAAGGTGGGACAGAGTCAAGAGATAAAACAGTAGAATCAACAAGACTGGCAACTGATGGGGTAAGAAATATGGACATAGTGAAAGTTTATACCAGTTTCTGGTGCAGGTGGCTAGTTCCATTGATGATACCTGGAGATGGAACTAGCAGGAGGGTAGAAGATTAGAAGGAATGGATAAGGAATTTAATTTTAGATCTTGGTGTCTTCAGACTTTCTTTGGACATGTGCCTCCTAAAAGAATTTTGAAAAGCTGTACCACTTGTACATTTTTAACCTGACATCTGAAATTTTTCAACATGAATTGAAATAAAGAAAATGTGGTCTATTTTAACATTTTAAAACAAAATTGTTACCTAAACTTGTAAAATGTATTCCATAGAATATTAATATATGAGAGCAGTTCTGTACCTACATCATCCACTTGCAAAACACATTAAAATTTTTTTACCTCTTTAACAGATACTTTACATTTTTCCTTTTTCTCT